TTGAAATAGTCATAGAATGCTCTTGAACGTTCTGCCTTGGATTAAAATACTGTCTTTCACTTGTCTTTTTTTTAACTTTTTGTTTTATTTTCTTGGCAAGAACTAGACTTTAACTGCACAATTCGAATAGACTCACTAAAAACTAGGAAAGTAGAAATCGAGGGCATCATCACCCTGAAGAACTTTATTTATACTTGTATTCTATACAGAAAACTAGTGGAAAGATTAATTATAGTTTATTTATTTATTTACTTCTATTATATATTATTCTTATTAGAATCAAATCTGAATATAGAGGGGGCAGATACTTTGTAAAATCTGATTGAAAAAGGGCTATTCTGGCTGAGAATGACACTAATGGTGTGCCTCGCTGAGGGGAGCAGAAGTCCAGAAAAATGGTTTAGACAAAACCAGGCAGATGATCTGGAGTGTGAATCTTTTTTTAAAAGCATAGAATTCCACACACTATTTTTGTGAAATTGTCATGTGGAAATATTTTTTTTACTAAGGGATGCTTTTTTTTCCCTCACATTTCTCCTGTTGTAATGCTCAGGAGCCACTCATGACTCTGAATTCAGACAGAGTTTAGGATATTTATTGTCTTCTGCTTATTTAAATTCTGGTGGGTAATTTTCATGTTTTTATCCTAAGATACCGTATAAATAAAAGCACTGCATATATATCAATAAAACAATTTTTCAGGCTAAACCGTTGCTGTCCTGCAAACAGCGAATGTGTCAATGAGGAAAGTAGAAAGGAAAGAGGTATAAAGTGTTAGTTCTCCCCAATTTTCAAAAATAGTTTCATAGTTCTGTCAGATTGTGATTGATCTTGTGATTCTGATTTTCACCATGTTTGGAAACCTGGGGTAGCTTCAGCTCCCATGGCAGCCAGCGTGTTGGCCTTTTGGAGTTAATCTGCACCACTTCAGCAGTTCTATGCTCTGAGTGATGTAAATTACGTGCATTTTTTCTGGATTGACCTAGAGATGACCTTACCAACACACTGACTAGGTGCCTATATTTGTCATAAGAAGTTAGATTACAGTTTTAAGGTGAATATTTGTTTCCTGGATGTTAGCAGAAAGTCCTTAAATCACCAATTTTCAATGTCTGAAAGAGTATACCAAGGGAAGAATTGTCCTCGACATGTCTGACTTCTTTCGTCCTTTCCATAAACATCTGCTACTGAACTCTTCTGGAAACAGGGTACTGATGCAGATAAATATGTGATCTGACCCAGAAGAGAGTTGTTAACTTATCAAATGCTGGCCTTTATTTTCAGCCTGTGCTGTTAATGCCTTGTTGCATTCTCTGCTTTTAACCATAGGACAGTTTGGGGAATTGGTTTGGTTTTTATTATACTCTTGTGATCCTCCTTGATCTAAGGGAGATGAAAGGCAATATGCGATAGCATTATTCACAGTTTGGGCAGTTACTTGTAGAAATGCTTCAAAGCTGAATGTAGGTTTGACACTGTGTCCTGGGAACCATTTTTTGTTCATGGTTTAAATATGGCTCAGGACAGCCCAAATCAAATGTATAGTCATTATAAAAGATTATGTAGCTCCAGAAGGTAATCCAGAACATATAAAAGATGCCTAGAATTAGATTGTGTAAATAACATTTGCACTAAAAAGCTTGTGAAAATTGAAACTTTTTTAAAATAATTAATACATTCTTTGATTTGAACAAGCACTGGAAATAAAGTATGGAAGATACAGAAGCGTAAAATATATCTTCAGATGAAGTGATGTGTGTTAAATCAACTCTATTTGATTTACACATACGTCTAAAGCTATATAATATATCTCAGTATTTATGAAATCAATTTCTTAATTTGACTTCAGAAATAAAAATGTAGTATGCCTATAACTGTTTATGCAGACGATACAATCAAACATTATAATTTTATTTGCTTTGTAATTTTTTTTTCTTTTTTCCTCTTAGTAGACAATGTCAGTAGAAATGGATCTAGTTATTAGCATTAGGTATCGTTAAATCTGTCACAAACTTTGTGTTAATTATAGTTTAGGACTGTGCTATGGGAAAGATATGGACGGAAGTTTCTTGAACTTAGTACTGTCAAAATCTCAAGGGATAAACATAGTGGAAGACCATATATTTGAAAATCATTTATGTGTTTATTTTTATTGGACAAGGCAAATGACAGTGTGGTATATTTTTATAATAACATATACTAGGTGTTCAGAGTGCCAAATGTGCTTAATGATAAATAACATTTTTTTTTGTCTTGCATATTTATAACTTTGAATCATACTTTTATATTTTCATTGATATTTCTTTTAAATAACTAGAACACTGAAAGATATCTTATAGGCTATGACAGAAATAAAAAGTCTGTGGAGAATATTAAATTAATAAATGGCAAACATGGGGCAAAGAAAATATTTGTGAGAAAAATTTCAACCTAAATATTGAGAGCAAATAACTTTATTTGGGTTATGATACAGCTATTAAGCAAAAGGATTCAATCAGTGTACTGTTTAAGCGATTCGTGTTCCAAAAAATTGACTACAAGTTTGGAGTGCTAGTTTTCATGTTTCATGATTTTACTGATTTCTGTTGTAAACCATTTCATCAGAGAGGTAAAAAGTCATATAGCTAGGATGCAGGCTTGCCCTGAAATCTGACAGTAGACCTTGGATCATATTCACTACTAAGACATTTAAGTACCCAGATAACTAATGGACACATCGTTGGACACACACATTAGGTTGATTGACATCTAAATTGTACGAGAAGTGGAAATCTACCCCTCTCCCAGCTGTATTGATTGTTTCACAAATGGAGGAGGAAAAAATACTTCAGAAATTTGACATTTTCACATACTTTTATATACCAGCAAAGTTGAAGACACATCTTTTACAGACATTGAGTTTACATGTGACTGGATTGCACGCCCACACTTAGAAAAAAAGTGAAAAACTCTCATCTGAAAATCTAGAAATATTATTTGCATAGTGCAGTTGAAGAGTAAATTCAAGGAGGACAAGGAGGAATAATATCTGATTTCACTGTAAGTTTTTGGTCAGATTTCCTCCCTTTTTCATAGTTATTTATTTTGAACATTCTGCCCATAAGCCCCAGGCAATTGTAAAATGTGAGTATGTTATAGCTTTGTCTCTGCTGAGGTATGAACTTGTCAGTCTTCTATATCTGAATTGTACCAATTTCACATCTTTAAATTATCACTTTTGGGATTTGATTTACTACCATCTGCTTCTGAAATAGATTTTAGCTATGACTTTTTTCTTTTCAATTAAAATTGTTCTAATCAACCACTCAGTGGTTATCAGCATAAGAGTAATCACTGAGGAGAGATAGGTTAGTGGGTTGTAGGTAAATTTAACAGTTAAAAAATGTGATACGTTTTTTGTGTGATTTGTGATACATACTTGTGGCATGCCTCTATGGTTTATTTACATAGATGTCTTAACATATACAACCACCTGAGAGAGAACGTGTGGTAAAAAGGGTAGTGTTGTATATTTATCGTGAATTGAAACGGTAAGAAGGGGAAGAGTGGTAAAGGAACATTATCTGTTAAAAATGAGGGCATAGAATTTAGCTGGATTCATTATATAAAAGAATGAAAAACAAAGTATACTGTAATCAAAGATTAGGGAATTCCAGAAACAGGGAATCAAAGATGTAAGAATGCATTCCTTTTAAGACATGAAAATAAAGTCAAAATTTATTTAAAATTGATTTTAAAAGCTAGGTCAGAATGGTAAAAGAGTACTGGTTAACAGTTACCTAATAAATAAAAGAACTGGTCTTAGAGTCACCAAATGGTGCAACCAGTACCTGAAGCAACCTTTTCAAAATAGCTGGAATATGATCCTTTTGTCTCTAAGATTTCAAAGGGCTTAGAAGACCTTCTTGTTCACCAAAGTGCAAAGGCTGTGCAAAGTCCTGTTTGCACAAACTGCACAGTAAGGTATCCAGAGTCAGAATAATTTCCTAGGGTCAGAAATCAGTGCAATCTGAAATATTCTATGAATGGGAGAAAGGTAGTCCAGTTTTATAAATGAGACATTTTCAAAAGAATGAACCCCAGGCTCTTTGCTGCTGAAGTAAGGACAGCCTGAATGAGTAAGCCCTGTGTAACTGAAGCCAAATTCTTCAGAGGTATTTACTTACTGTGTGGGAGTAATTTATTTCTCTCACTTATCAGAATATATTGAAAGAACATGTGGTCAAACAACTCAAGGGCGTATTAGAAAAATAAGTCATATACAGGTTGAGTTTGAAACAAAATCTAAATTTTGTTTTTATGCAAGAAAACTGAATTCTGCCTTGAAGTGCTAGAGACACCAGTTAGCGCCTAATGCTGTCACCCCTCTTCATTGCTATGCTAATTATCCCATTTATTATTTGCAAATTATCCCATTATATCAAAAAATAAAATTGATTAATTGAAGTAATAATTACATGTAGCATTCACATTTTTAGCCCCAAATTTCAATGAAAACTATTCATTAATTCAGTTCAACTAAACAAAAGCAAGTTTGACAGACTTAGGCACCTATATCTGGATATAAAATACTCAGTCAAAGACAGCAAACAAAGCTGTTCTTTTTCTTTAGGAATTTAAGTACCTTAGGTCTGTATTTTTTTGGAGTTTGGCAGTCTTTTTAAATAACTTGGGTTTACTAACAATGTTGGGATAATATTGCAAGAATCAGAGAAGGAGAGCATTCATCTTATTTAAAAAAAAACAAAGCATAAACCTAAAAACCCAGAAAAAAACCACAACCCACAAATACTATTAATCTGGTTTATTTGAAATAAAACAGTACAATACAGCATCTCCAAAGGTGTTTTAAGTGCAATTGCTCTGCAGGTGGCAGTTCTGATATACGACTTGAAAACACTTGAAACAGTATGTAAGACAATTTAAAAGAGACTTTGCAAAAGTTATCAAAACTAAACTGATTATATCAGTGCACTATTTGACTTTACTCATTCATGCAGGCTGCATTAGAGAAGGAATGGCTAACTCTAGATTCCACCCGTTTCCCTTCAAAAACACTCCTGCTCTCAAACCAGCTGCACTGGCCAAAGGTAACATGTCACAGAAACTTCTTACTCTTCAGTCTTTTTTCATTCCTTAAGGATATGCTACTCTGGGGTGATTAATAAGACAATCTATTGACTTGAAAAACATAATTACTTTTAGAAGTCTCAGACTTCCTCCTCATCTCCAGATGCAATTTTTCTTTTAGATTTTCTTTCATTTGCTTAGTTTTTTCTTTATTTTGGATTTATTTCAACACTTTACTTCACAGTAGCAGAAAAAAAGATGATGTGCTTCATCTGTACATTTGGCAATGGATTAAAAATTGCTAGTTGACACACTTCTTTAAAAATACTATGAACTGCATTATATGACAACAGCTGAATGTTTTCAGAACAGCTAAAGGTCATTGAACTGTAATGTCTGCTAGTTATTTGATAAACTTTGAAGTTTTAGCTTTTTGTTTTGGTAGGGGTTTCTCTTCTTGTTATAAGCATAGTATTACTAATGTTTTATTTCCTACAATTAAAAGGAGCCTTATAAATGTTTAATTCATTATATTTGGGGATGTTAAGTATTATTAAAGTCACCTTTTTGTCCTATGTAGTTAGTTGAAGGTAAGGTCTGTAATGGACATATCACCGTTAAGAATACTTTCTATTTAATACACTCTGCAAACCCTGGTACAGTTTTACATTTTAGACTCAAACTTGCAGGAATCATCAACTGCATTCTTTTTCTTTTACTTAAAAGTATTCTAGGCCTTCAAATTCCAGTGAACATTCAAATAGTTTGCCATTGTCACCACAAGATATTTGGCAGTGTGTTAACAGACCACATTTATATTCAGCAGAAAATATTCACTTTCACAGCAGGTAAGTTAAACAACATATTTTCTCCATTATATTTAGTTCATTTGGACTTGACAGAAATCAGAAGAACTTGAGGGTCTTTTCTAATGCTTTTGCTACTTTTGGTTAATATAATATTACCAGAGTCAAAATGTATTTACTTGTTACAACTAAATTTATTAAATTCAGTGGTTATTTTTCACGGACTGCTGGAAGTAAGAATGTGAAAATATATATGCGTATTTTTATTTATCTAGATTTGTCTGTAAATCATAAAACTTGTATTTTTAATATATATCATAACATAGACATTGAAATAGAGATTTGTAAGACTAGATAAAGATTAAAAGGGATTTCTTACACAGCTGCATTCTTTTGGAGAGAAAGGACTGAAATATGCTTCAAGTAATTGAAACGTAAACATTTCAAATTGATGGCAGACTTTTATTACTCTCCAAGATAAAGCCTTCCTGGAGCATTAAAATAGATTTTTTTGTATTGTTTCCAAGCTTCAAAAGTGCCTTTAAAAGGAACAAACAACTTGCAGAATAACAAAGGCTGCAAAATAGTCACCAAGAGCCTTTCTTATTTACCCACCTTTCTGTATCACTCTTATACTTTGTTTTCAGATCAAGAAACGGAACAATGTCACAGCTCTCTGACTGGAAAGAAAAAAAGCCATTTTCATTCATGTCTGAAAAAGAAGAGAAAATTTCAGAAGAGTGGTATGTTAAGCTATTTTGCTTACATAGCAACTTCCAGGAATAGGTATAGGTTGGCTGTTGTTGCTTGCTTTTTTTAAGTTCCACCTTTCAAGAATCTCTGTTTTCTACCAAAGTAAAAATTATTAGCTTTACAAGTGTCTGCGCAATCATCTTAGGAAGTTGAAATAATGTAATGTTAAGCATTGCAACTATCTGTGCTATTCAGAAAGTTTCCTATGATGCCTAAGAAGTTCTATACACTTGTATTCTTTTTGGAAAGTGTGTTACACAATAATATGCAGCTGGTGTAACATAATATGTGCAAAATGTTTAGTAACATATTCTCTTCCCCTAGGGGTTTTAAGGATATTTCTACTGCACAGCTGATGCTGAAGAGGGCCCATAAAATGAAGCCCAAAAGATACAGTAATAAAAAATTAGGTAAGTCAACAGTTAAAAAATGGTTCTTTTGATTGAATGTTTCTATTCTTAGATCTCAAAATAGTGTTTCTCTTTTAAAAAGTTTGCTTGCACACAACACTGATTTGAATAAAGGTGTTGTTTGACTCAGGAAAAATAACTCAGTTTAAATCTCTGTAAAGAAATCAATTTGTTCCAGTGATAAAATATTCAGATTCTAAAAAACATTCTACTGGACTTTTAAGTTGAATATTTGACAGCTATATTAAGCAGAAATTTGTTTTTGTTCATGTATCTCTTTTTCTATACATGGAGTTTATATTTCTGCATTTTGTGTTTATATTTTTCTCTTGGGGGAATCTCGGGCCAAAATTATTGACTTGTACAAAAACTGATTATGAAAATGACAGTTTGATAAATATGAAGTGAAATAATATTTTTATATTAAATATTCGCTGTAGAAATAGATAACACTTATCTAGCTTCTCTGTAATTGTCTTCTGGTTCTTCTCAGATACTTCCTATGTGAAAGAACCTTTCTTAGAATCATCAACTGTTAGTACACTATGCTAATACTAATACAAATGTTAATAGAATAAGTGTCCTGGTTTGAGAGGGGTGCATAAACCATGACAATATGTTAATAACATTAAAATATTAATAAAATACTGCTAGTATAAGAAACTTTCACATGTGTAAGAGCCTGGTTCACTATAACACCTAACTTTAAATGGTCTTTGGAAAGTGTATCTTTATTTAAATTTAATTTTTTCAAAATGTATCATGAGCTACAGTTAATTTGTATAACTTTGCAAATCTGTCCTGTATTAAGTGTTGAAAATATTGAAAGACATTTTGCTCTTGGAAAGGAAAAAATGTAGCCTGCAGATAAAGTTAAGAAAAACACTTTTCCGTATAATTTCTCTACTTTAAATATCATGACAAAAAGAGATCTCTAGGTAGGAAAGAAAAAAAAAAAGCATGTAATCAATAAACTGTACTTTTTTGATATGGAAAGGAGAAAAAATGGATTATGGTTGTTAAAGTGATTCTATTTAAGTCTTGATAGCTTCCCATGATGCCCTACTATGTTACCTAAAAAGAAAAAAACAAAAACAAAAACAAAAAAAAAAAACCACTTTAGGAAATATCTGGTGTGCAGCTGAGTTTTTTACATATGTTCCATTTGGTGGCCTGTGTATCATTTTTTAATGAATAGAACTTACTAGTTTATGTCATCTTTTCTCCATATGCTTTCTGGTTTATGTTAGTAGTAATTGATCCAGTCATAAATGTCTGATTGAGCATATCAGATTTGCTATCCTATTTTTGTTGTATTTCTAATACTTTTTTTTAAATATGTTTCTATTCCCTTTGTTCAGATTATTCAGTATGGTATATGTACGTTGAGCTTTTTAATGTATCACTTGGAATATCCCCCAAGTACATGACTTGTGTTGAAAAAATTAACAAAACATTTGCACATTGTTTTTATAGGTTCAGATTTTCTCTTCTTGACACTGCCTCATATAGGAATTTTTTGTCTTTCTACTACAGCAAGCAAAAAATAACCTGTATATATAATTTTCTGGTATAGAGTTCCCTGACAGTCATTAAAATCATGGTCTTTTTTTCAGATAAGCAGAAAGTGTAATTTCCAGAACCAGGAAATATGACTGAAAATATTGGACATGCAATCCTTTTTCAGTATAAAGATTATCAATCCAACTATTTTTTCTTATACAGCGTACTGACAAAGTCAGTTCTTCTTGGTCAGTAAGGACCAAATAGACTAAAACTCAGCTGTTGCACTAAAAAATAATCCTGATGGAATATTCCCCATGTGAGAAGAATCTTCACGTATATAATAGTGTTTTACATCAGCTACTTCCTTGGAAGTGGTGAGAGCAAGTCAAGGTCTTGTTGAGAGTCTGGTTGAACTGAGTGTCTTTACAGCATTTAAATTAGAGTAGATATACCTTATCCTGAGGCCAGCCAGCTCCAGATCAGGAAACTGTAACCAGATCCATTAGTCTGCCAGTATCTTTCTTGGATCTCTATGTGGTACAGCTCATGCTAGAATACTTACAATTCCAGTATAACGAGAGAGAGAGAGAGAGAGGTCACAGTCTTAGGCTGTTGCTTTAAGTTTAACCCTAACTAAGCAGGAATTCCATAAGAGACTTTTTTCCTTCTAATATTTAATATTTAAAAGCAGATTGAAATTCATCTGAGTAAGTACGTGTCAACATTGTCTCTTAATGGTTCCTTAGAAATTAGCATTCTGTCACCTTTATCTCCTCTGAAATGGGCTTCGTCTGTGTTATACTTACTGGAGCTGTGTATGATATCTTGTAGGATTTATTTTTGGTAGTATTATTTCTGTTCTTTCTTTTGAATTTCTGGATCCTCAGTGTTATAATTACAGCTGTTTCCTTTTTAGCTTTCTGATTTAAAATAGTCGAAGGTATGCTAACTACAGTAAAATAAGATTCCTATCCACTAGAAAATAAGTAGCCAGCATCCACTTAAACGTGTGACTTATGAGGTGTAAAAAAGCAATTTTCCATGTTATGTCCATCTTCTACTATACGTCTGAATTTAAAGCAAAACTTTTAAGTTCTGACAAAGAGCAAAGCACCAACAATATCTAAAGGTTCTAGATATAAATAAATTATAGGCTGTTAACAAATAAGCTGATAGTTTTTATGCTAAGGTTTCAGCATCATCCCAAACATCTTTTGTGTGCTGTTGAGCTCTTCCAATGGCAATGCTCTTATCAGTTGCCAGTAATGCTAAGGTACTGATGGGTTTTGTAGGAACAAATGGCCTGTCAGAGTACGCTCTCTGCTTCCATGCCTGAGGTTCACAAATATAAGGTTATAAATCAGCCTTCATTCAGACAATTTTGGAATCGCTCTTTAATATAGTCAAGACATCTGCTGTATTGGAACTTGGACTGGACAGCCTTGAACAGCTTCAATTCTTAACATTCAAATTTATTCTTTTTCAGTTTCCATCTAAAACATTTGTCTTCTCCTAGTGGAACAGTGATGGGATTCATTTGGTTAATTATAGAAGTCCACATCTGAGCTAGTCATCTAGGTATTGGAACTTGGACTGGACAGCCTTGAACAGCTTCAATTCTTAACATTCAAATTTATTCTTTTTCAGTTTCCATCTAAAACATTTGTCTTCTCCTAGTGGAACAGTGATGGGATTCATTTGGTTAATTATAGAAGTCCACATCTGAGCTAGTCATCTGCATTCCTTTATGGAAAGAAATAGCCACCTTAAATGCTATTAATTTCCTCCTAAAACATAATTCAAAAACAGGTTACTTGAATCTCACTGTAAAAGCACTTACAGTTCTTCATTTCCCAGACACAAAAGCTGGGCAGTGACTGGACGAGGTATAGTTAAAGTGAAGATATGTAGAAGTAACTGAGAAGTATCTTACCTCATGTGTCTGGCCACGTACCTTCTCAGTAGTGAGAAAAATATGGAAAATACTAGCAAGTGCACTGAACCCTGTGGTTTATGTTACAAAGAAGAGCTTAAAGTAGCATAACCTTATAATAGGGAGTGATTCAGGCAATGCTTGTATTGCTGTAGACCAGTCCCACCAACTAATGGCCTTAAGGCCTGTTTTGCCCTAATCCACTACAGTTATGTATGCTTGTTTATGTAGTTAAATAAAGTTGTGGCCTGTATTTTAACGATACCAAATGTAGACTGTGTCTACTTCAACTATTTCTACTCTACAGTAAAATACAAAAATTGTGGGCAAGAAACCAGAAATTTTGCAGCCAAGTAGAACTGGCATAATGTCAGAAATATTCTTGTTTATCATGGGTGCATAAAATGCTACAGAAAATCTAATTAAAAATCTAAATACAGCAGACATTAATGCACCTCACTGTGCTTAAAAATTATGACTCATAATAATCCTAGCTTCCTAAAGATGTCTTGGCACAGCAGTACAGAATTTCTTGCTTAAGTTTGAATTTTCTTGCTTCTGTGGATTTTATATTAGCTTCTAAAAGCTAACTTCTTTTTCTTTTAAGATGGCTGGAAGCCTCATCTTGCTTTCAGCTCATCTCTCCTACACTGCTGTATTACTTCTTGTTTAACTATTTCTTCTTCAAGGGAAAGCTCTCTTGGCAGTGACTGCCAGCATAAACTGGTGAAAGCAGCCAGAGCAGGCCTTGGCTTGTAGAACCAGAACACAATAATAAATGTATTTCAGAGAGGTAAGCAAATATTTTCTAGTTTAGAAATTAAGACAGCAATGCAATAGTAATTAAAAAAAAAAAAAAGAAAAAAGTACCCAGTCCACCCCCCTCAAAACCCACAACCCCAAACCAGATGATCTGACTATACAACATTCATTTGTTGAATTTAAGAACAGTCAGAATAAAAATCTGGGGGATATTATTATTCCTTGTTACACATTACATAAATGACCACTAATCTATATTTTCTTAGTAGCAGAAAGAAAGCTACTTTTGTTGTTGTTGCATATTCCATGTAGCAATATCATCTGGAAACTCCAACCATGGATGAGTTGGAGTTCTAATTGCTGTCAATTATGGAACAAAATGTGGTCATTCTTCCAAACTAATTTACAAATTGAATTATCTTATAGATAAGCATCTGTCACTGTGCTACTTCGATTTATCAACTCTTTAAAGTTGGCACAGATATGTTTATGTTTTTCTAACTACAGATATGGCACAACAAAAATGAATGACAAACACTTAATTTTTTCAGTTTCACACATTATCAAGAAGTTGTTTAGCAAATGTGGTGCCAGATCAGGCAGTAACTAGTGCTTCCATATTGTTTCTATAACATTTCTTGTGTTTATCCAACTTATCTTCTATATTTGGAGTCCGCCAAACAATGTGCATTAAATTACCTCCCTGGTTCCTAGATTGCCAGCACAGATCATCATCTAATAAGACACATTTAAGTGAGTGTGCCAAAATCCAGGAAGATATTTGTATGATTTTGAACTATTGGACTCTTTCACAGTTCTCTGTGTGAAATCTAAAACATTTGATTGCTTGTCATCAAAGCATACATGCAGTTCATTTCCCTAGCTCACTCAGAGACTGAAAAGCACTAGTATTATAAAGTAATCTATGTAATATTGCCTACATTTGGGACTAGATAAAGAAAAGAACTCATTTTTAATAACAGAATTGCTCTAGGCAATGGTTGAGGTGATCCAGGTAGGTAGAAATTCAAGTAGTCTGGCACTGTGTTAAATCCCTGTAGATTATTTAAATTATTTTGCAAAGACTCAAAGATAAATCTTCTGATAGAAATTTCTTAGAAGAACAATTTCCATCATTTCCCTCGATTCCCAGTTCATGGACCTTCTTTACTGCTGATATCCTTGTGCACAAATAAATGTATGAAAAATCTAGGTTGGCACTTACAACTTCATGTGACTTCACCCAAAAGTCCTTGGTATAGTTTAATTTTGGACTGCTTGGAGTCGTCATAGAATTGCGTGGGAGGCTGGATTAAGGCAAGATGGCATTTAAAAAACATTTTGGAACAATTTCAGTAGACTCACATAGGAAAAAAGTGTGTTATTTCAGGAATTATTTTAAGTTAATAAAAAATAGTTTGGAAATCCTCAATCGCGTTTTGTCTTAAGAGTTGTTATATCAGTTTTGCCACTTTGTCCTTGGCCTTCCATTGAAGAAACTCTTGTAACTAGCATAAAGCTAGTAAAAGTTAGAAGTCTTTTTGTCTTTATTTTATTCTGCATATTTTTATCTATGTATAGTACTCGTACGGCTAGGTATCTTACACAACTTTATACTTTACTTACTTTCATACTTCACTTAAAATATTTTTTATAACTTCTGTTACTTAAAATTTCAGAGAACTTTTAAAAAACAATGTATTACTATTCCAAGATATTTTTATTACAGATCTTACTGTGATATATTTCCCCAAACATTTGCTACCCTGAAGAACACTAGGTTGCTACAAAATTTTTTTTGAGTTGGGAGGCATGCCAAAATAGGCCTATTTTGTCCATCTATACACAGTAAAAATATCTAAAAGTGTGGTAATCCAGTTTGTGAAAAAAGATGCCGTTATTAGAATCATTCTAATAATGTACCTTTAAAACAAATGCAGCTAATCATTATTAATTCTGCTTCTTGGGTTGTTTCATTGAATTTATACTTCAGTTAGTAACAGTGGGTTAAAATTACTTTAAATCTGACACTCTGGTTAATCTGGAAGGTATAACCATCATACAAGATGAGAAGTTCTTCTAGACAATTTGAGATAGATGACAAAGTATAAGGTAATGCTGATACTGCCTTGAGAAGAAGGCATGGCCTAAATTACTTCCATCCATATTTTCCATGATTCCTTTGTTACTCAAGTTTGCTGCTTTGTGAGAGGTTTTCACCGTTAAGAACATTCTGTCAACCAAATGCTGCTGCAGCATGATCTGACCAAGCATACCCTAACATTTTGACCTGTTTTGTCAGTGTGTTATCTCTTAAAGTATCCACAGCCCATTAGAGATCTTCTCCAGGCTTGTAAGGCAAAGATACAGTATGTCTATGTTGTCTTGCTTGTGTCAAGAGAGCATTCTCTGAGAAAAAGTGGAGCTCTTGGGATCGCTTTATGTTCCATCAGTTAGTAACTGAAGCATCTACTACAAATATGGAGGTCTGGTCAAAACCAACTTTATAAATTGCTGTTAAATTTTGTAAGAAATTGCCCACTGACTTAGCAGGGCATTCTGATCCTTTATTCCCATAAATAATGAAAGCAAATAGAAAAACTTCTTACTTTGCTGCAGTATTATAGATGCTCTTTAAGCTCTTACAAGCTCTCTCAATAAACATCAACAAGGTCACGTAACAAGCTCAAAATAAAGCATCAGACATATCTAGTAATGTAAATTTATTCTGTCTGAATTCTATTTGAGTCTTTCCATCTCCTCTGTTTTCCTCCTCTATCTGTTCTGGCAGTGTCTCACATATTCATTTTTGCTGCAGTTGCATTCTTTGTGAAAATTTAGAACTTTTCTTTGCCATATCTTCTTTCTTGCTAAGTTCTATTTCTGCTTTCCCTCTTTATTTTTATTAATTTCTACTCTTTTCAGACAGTTTGTAGGCACCTTTGTAGACAAACCTTTTCTGCCTCATTGTTTCTCAGATGTTCCTGAGAGTATTTGTCTGCTTGTGCTATTTTCTTAACCATGTGAAATGTATTTCTTTGATTTTTCCTTTGTCTTGCTGTTACTAGTCTTATTATGATCAGTGTCATACCTGAAAAACCCTATATATTTTTGCTTATCATTATATCGTTGCTTTTGTTTCTACATTCTTCTCCGTCCTTTTTTTTTTTTTTAATAAGTGACTGTTTTATTCGGCACTGTGCATAGAATTTTCACATTCTTTCTAACCCAGTTTCCCTTAAATTCCTGCTTTCCTCTTATGTCAAGCAAACAATTCTTCCTCCACATAAAAAATAATGCATGAAAATCACCTTTCCTGACTTGTGTGGTTCTCCATTAGTTCAGATAATTTTAATTAATTATTTTTTAATATATGTAATTAATTTTAATTCATTAGTTAATTAAACTTTTTTTCCTACCTAGGAACATATATTATCAAGATTTATAGGCAGTTCTGTGTTCATCTTTGATTCTTTGCAAAGTTTTCAAAATAATAGTTATGAAACTAATCAAGATTTCATACCGTGGCATATATACGAGTCTATAGATTCTTGGAGTACTTTTTATTTTAATAGGGATGGGACATGGAAAAAGGTTAGTTAATTTTCTGCAAGTTTAGCCTAAAAAAATAAACTGCCTCCTGTTAAAACTTCTATGTGTAAATGACTGGATTTAGACTGTTGAATAACTCTGAAACAATGCTTAGCATATTCTGTTAATATTTCTGCTTTAATTTCAAACTTTAAAACCAGATTTTTTAATATTTTCTGCAAGTATATGCTTTATAATTTATTTTTAATTTGGAGATGAGCTAGCTAAAATATCAACAGTGTTAAAATCCTGCAAAATAGGACCTTGGTTCTCAATTGCACATGTATTTATGTTGCTTTATTTTAGAAAGTGAATATAAAACCTACTTTTAAAAGTATTTTCATTTATTAAGTGGCTAAAAGGTGAAAAACTGCTTGAAGGAATAAATGAGCCAGGTCTGACCTTTGATTTTAACTTGTTCTTTTCGTCTAGACCCAGCTGTGCGCCTGGCGTTGTTCAAAAACAATGAAAATAAACATCTCCATTCGAAACCACCAAGGAAGACACAGCCTATAAATGCTGGTTACTTTGAAGGTATGAACAAGCATTTCACTTTATCTCTATGCATATAAGCACATATATCTTCTAAGTCTTTCTTAATGTCTTTTAAGAAAGACTCCTTGAAATGTAAAACAATATGCACAAATAGAAGGCGGCAGGAGTTTAAAGTTCTTATCTGTTTCTAAGTATCTCAAGTTACAGCAGGGAAACATTTCAGTTTCAATTCATTGGGGAGGCAGGGGGATTCCAAGAGATTAATTCATAATGAACTGATGCATAATTTATTTGTTATTATTATTATTATTATTAGATCTTCATCACAAAAATAATAATCATAAAAACATAAAAGCATGTCACAGAGGTATATATAACACAAAGCACTAGAATAAATATTTATAAATATCACTCAAATTCTTCACTTGTCACCTTTTATCAAGCTAGCCATTAATCCCTGATGTTTGTTAACATGTTTTTAGGAAGTTAATTTAATAAATATTCTCTAAAAAAAATTATTTAACAGAAGACAAGAAAAGAAACTTCAGCATATGATTGGCTTACAAAAGCTTTTAAATACTGATGTAGCTCTTTTACTGTTGAAATTCATGTTAAAACTCTCCTTAGTGTCATTACAATTAGAATAAGGCCAAGTCTATTTAAAATACCCATGTTGGAAGAAGCTGAGCATCTCCAGAGGCATTGTTTTTTGGACTGTTTTGATTCCTTTCGCAACTCAATAGCATGCTTAGAATGTCACCTCTGTCTTTTTATGCTATCTGATTTGGTCCCAATCCCATAAAGTAAAATTAAAAATAATAATACTATATTAAAATTCACTGAGTGAGGATAAAAATTAGGACCCTTCTGAGACGGGTGTGCAACCAATCTGAGTATGTCTGAACTGCAATTCAGTCAATTAGCTTCAATTAAAAGTCCAAATTTGCCTCACAGTCATGACCTGGTGCTCAAATTTGGTTGGAAACAGTTCTTGGTGAATTCTGAAGAGGAAAAGTGTTTGTTTTGGATCTAAGCGTGAATTTACCTAGAATATAGAGAGCTTGTATATGATGTGCCTGACTTAGCATTCCCAGTGTCTCGCTTCTGTTCCTGTGGCATATGCTTATATGCCACAATGCATCAGATGCTGAAGAAATAGGACATGCAAAGTTTCACAGTAGTGAAAGGACAGAAAAAATGTGAATGTTCAAAGCTATGTCAAAGACATAAGCTTGATCCCACGCTCAGTACCCTAAAGTCAGTGTAGGTATAGCTTCTCTGTCCTTCCGCTGGTTTATCTGTTCCTGCCTGGAGACGTTTCTTTTCATTTTGGAAAGCCAATATATGTGTTCTAAGTACTACTGAAATTACTTTTTGAATACATGGAGAGAAGGCACCATAGCTGATTAGCTATTAAAGGACAGGCGCTGTCGTGACACTCTTGTTTACCTTTCATTTCAAGGACGACTGTACTCCTTTGGCCAGCTAATAAAGAGATATTTTTTCCAGCAAACTTATTGGGTGCTTACATGCAATCTGCTGAGCCTTCAAGAAGACAAGCACTACTCTTCTGATTGACCAGAGTATAAAATTTTTCTTCTACCTAAGGCTTTGCTACTTCAGATGATATGGCCAGAAAACACCCAGTTGTGAATTAGAACCCAGAATGCAGCACAGCCCATTTATTTATGTGTATGTGAGATAGCATCAGACAGAACTAAGAGTTTCTATATTTAGAATTTGATGACACTTTGCACGTTACCTACTACAAAGTAAAGTACCTGCATGATAATTTCACGGAGTTGTGTTATCAGTCATTTCTTCCCTCACTCACAGAAAAGCTTGTTTCCCATTTCCCCTCTCTCACCTTTTGACCATTTCTTCCTCTTTTGCCTGGAATAGATTTCTTTGGGTCTGTTCTGCGATCGGAGTTCTTTCTGTAACAAGAAGGTGGAATGTTTTCACTCTGTATCCATAAATCTTGTGGACACCGTATTTTAAGTCAAGAGAGAACACAGTCCATTGCATGGCGGAAATAAACTTCCTCCATTCAAGCCCTTTTACTTTCACAGAGTGGTAGTCAGTGCTCTGGTAGAAAACTCCAATCCATCTCCTTCATAAACCACTAAATAAATCTTAAAACAAAACAAAACAAAAAAGTACATTCTAAATATTCCTGCTTTATTTCTTTAAATTGGGAAATGGGGAGAGAAGCCATAGCATCAACAGTAAGTACACATGTGTTATCTGTTAAATAACAGAATCACTACTTTTGAAAGGGGATGCCCTCGGAAGTGAAACAATTAGAACAGTTTTAGATTTTCAAACTGGAACACATCATGGTAGTGAATATTTAAAAGGTAATCTAGTTAAACTGTACGATGGATGTCTTTCATCTTCATTGTGTCTTTAGTTTCTGTTTAAAAATGCAAAGACAAAAGGGAATTAAAAATTAGAGGTATAAAAATAAATGGTGAAGAGGAATGAACTTGATATCTGATGCTTGTGTGTTTCTGAGGTAAAGATTGTATTCTGTCACAGTTTACCTTCTCATCTAAGTTACTGCTTTATATTGACAGTTTTGCTTCATGCAACAAAGTTGTTGTGGATAACTTTAATCCCATATCTCTCATTTGATATACATATTTTAGGAAAAAAACCTTTTCAAAACTTGAGTGACAGCCTGATTTTTTTATAAAATTTTAGAAGAGTCATCATTCTTTACTCACTGATGTTATAAAAATCCCCACAGGGCACCATCATTTCACATTTGTATCACAATAGCACACAGAAGTTAGTCAGAGACTAACTTTGTATTACATGCTTCATCAACAGCATGAGGAAACGTTGCTCTGTCAGACAAGAATTTAACATTTAAAAATACAAGCAACATGTGAGGGCACCAAACATGGGAATGTAATGTTAGTGTATATATTTGTGTGTCTAGATATGTGTCAATACATATACATACCATACATGTGTGTATATGCACACAAATATATATGCATATACTTTGAGTAGGTATATGAATTCAATAAACATAGCACTTATGCATTTTTTATTTGTATATTTTGAAAAAAATGTAAATCATGAACAATTACTCTCTGGTGTAATTTGTAGTATCAACATGCATTTTGTAATCCTAATGCTTTCAGTTTAGATGTTGTTTCAGTTCATTTAAAATTAATTTAACATATGGTCACTCTATAATACCACAGAATATGCAAGTGTAAATATGTGTTTACTGCTTCTCTTAAGATACTATAGTCTGATCAAAAACGTGAAGACAGATGAAAGCCTGACTTGATGTACTTTCATTTTTGATGATTTACGGGACATTTCCTGGGATTATGTATATTACACTGCTTTTTTTGGTGTGATGGGGTTATGTTTTCAGCACGGTTGTTGAGTTTCAGTTAGTGCCAGTTAGTTGATAAACAAAATATGCCTGCTTAATGTTGCATTGAACATTCTTGGAGGGGTTTTTGCGTTTTGTAAATGGTGACAATTTAAAGATCTCAAAATTTTGGAAACGTTACAAGGAACACTGATAATTTTCATTATTTCCTATTTTGCAGCAAAGCATATTTTTAGAAAGCTTTATGAGTGCTTCTCCTCTTGTTGCCTGGAGGCTATTTCAGTCATTGATTTAACATAAAATAGTCTTGACTATTTTTGGATAAAGTACATCAGGAACTGAAGGAAGAATCTATCCTTGACTCCTCTTTTCTTGGGAAGTGCCAATTAGTCCTGTCTGAATGTGCATCTCTGCCAGCTGTGGGTCTGTAATTACAGGGACTGCATTTTCATTTACACAGAGGAAGGATAACTACTTTTCCAACCAACAGTGTGGGTGCTGTGTCCCAATACAGCAGCTCAAAACTAAAGAAGGAGCCCTGAGACCTAGCACATTGTTTTGCTACAGACTTTGGGGAACAGCATGTATCTTTTGGGGTCCTCTTTAATCCATCTACCTCAACAATTTTGGTGGGTTATCCAAATAATTTCTGTTCAGTGGAATGGGAATCTGGATTCCAATCTTTAGAGCAAGTTAGAAGAATGCAGTAGGTCAGCTGAGAGTCCAATCAAACTATCCAAGTATTATTTTTATATGATTCGGTTAGTTTCTCAGAATTTCACAGACTATGTTCTAATAAAATATGTAGATTAGGTGATTTATTGGCATATATAATACTTTTATTTTCAGTCATATCCATATCCATCAGTGGCAGATCTATACCATACACTTCAAAGAAGTGGAAACAGTACAACTTGACTTCACCCAGGAATGTGCACAGTGACAATTCCAGGAAGTTTAACTGTATTAAAAATGCATTGGACTATATTGTCAAGATCTGTTTACTGTAGTTTGGGAACCTGTTAGTTCTAGTTGGCAGTACTCTATTTCCTGTCATTTTATGCTCATTGGTGACTAAAGAAAACGTAATGGGTATAATGTTAAGACAGATTTCACCAATACAAATTTGATAATGAACAGATTATGCTTTCTCAGGTGGCTTTTAATTATGGAAATATTTATTCATTTCTTTTTAAATTGTCAGTAGAAATAACATTTATTTTTCATATTGGAACAAGAAAAAGAGGTAAAATGATCTTGTGATTATGTCATATGATTGGAAGATAAATATTAAGGATCCATTTAAAGTCATCTGCTTTCCAGCTTTCTGATAGTTCACAATTATGAAACTCCTTGTAGTCTCAAATGAAAAATGTTGCAAAACATTCTTATAGATTATTATTACTAGTGCTAATTAAAAATGTGAAATTGAGACTTTGGAACATGGTAATTTAAGGTTACCTTTGAGTTAATTATGTCAGCGCATTAAAATATTGTTAAATAATGATCAACATAATTTCTTAGATTTTTCTATATTATAAAATTTGAATACATTGAAGAAAAGGTACATATGGTAATTAAATTAATTTCTGTTGATTCAAATCACTGATGCTTTTAAATAGCTGCATTAGAGTTAAGAGAAGGTAGAGCGGTATGCTAATACTATCTTTTTCTGTGCTTT